TGAACTCCAGAGGGAAAGTCACGGACCTATCAAGGGCACCGATCAGCTCCCTCAGGGCTCCCGAGGCTGCTGACCCTGCAGACACAGAGAAATATAAAATAAGCTAGAACCCCTGCCCTTGCCACCAATTACTCACCCCCTTTGGGTCCTAGGAAGATCCTGAGAAAACTGCTTAGTCCAATACAGAGGTTTCCCTGGGAAACCTTTCAGAACCTCACTCACACGAAAGCATTGAGACCGGAACTTTCTGCCTAAAAGGGATGATTGCAGGTGCCCACACCCCATTCCCAGAGATCTCTGGCTGAAAAGACCAAGCTCTGAGATAGACCAGAAAGCCCAGCTCCATCCTTGATGGGTTCCTGTGAGGGGACAAGTGGGGAAGTTACTGTCCAAGTGTCTCATAGGATTGCCAGATTGCTCCTGAGAGAGCTGAGTTTGAAGCTGACGACGAAGGCCTGCTTGACCTGGGGACAATGGTTTGCAAGCATGTATCAGGACATTGGGAGGTGAGCTACATGTTCCTAATGGTAGTGATAGCTGAGAAGTTGGAGGATGACTTACCCTTCTATTTTATGATAGATGAGAGTGAATTCAAGGTTATCCCCATATGGGGTTCTCATTTACTTGCATTCTAGTATGATTTACCAAGAGAGAAGGAAAAGGGTAAGTGACAGGGAGCTCTGTAATTTGTCCAAGCCAGCTCATGCTTCTCATCACAAACTATTAGGAACTGTGGTAGGGTTGTACTTCCCTCATTTCACTCCAGAAAGCATGACTTGCAAACAACCATCAGTGGTTATGTGGCTCCAGTTGAAAAACAGTTAAGAATGACGGCTAAAGAAACTTCCAGAAATGGCCATGTCCAGTAAACAAGTGTGGAGAATGAGTCATTTCAACCTATTAAAATCTGAGGGACAGACTCTGGGGATAGAACAGAGCAGTAAGAGAATTTAGATTGAGACTAACAAATTAAAAGTACCTACTGTGATCTTGCTGAACTCTTAAAACAACTTTTAGAGGAAGAGATTTTATATCCACATTACAGATCAGGAACCTGAGGCACAATGGGGTTAAGTGACTTACTCAATCTTCCTGGTCAGTAAGTGGCAGAGCCCACATCAGTACCCACAGGATCAAGACCTTAAAGGGC